GCCCATGGCTACCCGTCTGCATCCCCCCAAAGACAAAGGAGCCAAATTTTCAGAACTAACTGGCAACAACAATGTGCAGCCCTTATATGAAGCCTGCCTTGACACTTATTTTGCAGAGACTAAATGATATTACAGATGAGATGGAGAAACTCCAACAAGCCTTCCCTATGCAAAATCCCCATGGTAAACAAGAGGTTAAAAAGACAGCTGATCTTGGTCACATGGAGAGAGATTGCTCACATTTTTCAGGACAACCAGATGCAGGTAGATATAGTAATGTCCTACAGGAGGGGAAAAAATCTTCCAAAATGGGTTCTGATGACTGAGACAGAAATCAAGAAACTTGTAGACCAAGGCTCCAGGGGAAAACTTAATATCTTCTGAAGCCATTAAAATTATTAGGAATTCTAGCCTTCTATTCTGGCATATCTTTTCATCTGTATCAACAACTATGGGCGAGCACCTAAGGACTGGGGGCTTGCTATCATCATCCCAATATTTAAAAAAAGGAAAGAAGAACTGTCCTGGCAATTACAGACCAATCAATCTCCTCAATACTATCAGCAAGCTCTATGCAAGACATTTACATTGGAAGCTCATGGACTGACTGGAACAAGAAAACATACTTACAGAGGAACAATCTGGCTTCAAGGAAGGCTGAGCTACCATAGGCTAGTGCCTTGTATGCCAACACCTCATTGAAAAGTATGCCACCTGCAACATAGGGCCTCTACACATCGGCCCAAAGGGCCGGCCTGGATGCAGAGATGGGGAGGGGCAGCTGCACGCTGGCTGCCCCAACCCCACGCCGAGAATGTCCTGATGCCGTGTGACATTACGCATGGTGCACCACATCAGGACATCCTTCCAGCGCAGCATTTTGACATGCTGCACCAGAAGAGGCACTAAAGAGCCACGTGCTGGCTCTTAGGGTGGGCTTTTGCCACCTGTAAAAGGAGCGGCATTTTGCCACTCTTTTCCAGGTGGCAAAAGGGAGGATCGGGGCCGCACACTCCAGCAGCCTCAGCTCCGATCCATCACTTCCTGGGGTGGCTCTCTGCTGCCCCTTTGGGCCCATCTGCAGAGACCCATAGTCTTTCTCTATGTTGCCTTTATAGAGTTTAAAGCAGTTTTTAACTCTGTATCTTGAACCAAACTATGTGAAAAACTGGAGGCTTCCTCGATTGACCAGTGTCTACTATACCTAATTCGTATGCTGCATGAAGGGACCTCACTCAAAATCAGATGTAATCCACAGGGCCATCTCACCAATGCCATTGCCATTGAAAACGGCATTGAGCAAGGACGCATTCTAGTTCCACTCCTGTTCAACTTTTACATCAATGACACAGTGGGTCCTCTCGACAACACAAATTTCCATCCTTTGAAGCTAGAGAGAAATGATATCTCTGCTCTGCTTTATGTGGATGATGCAGCAGTGATTTTAAAAACACCTATTGATCTAAAAAGAGCACTAACACAGTATTGCAAAGAAGATCAGCTAAAACTTAACTATCAAAAAACCAAAATCGTGGTATTTGCTGAAAGGCATAAGAACTGAAACTGGATAATAGATGGTCACAAGATTGAACAGGTATCCTGCTTCAAATATCTGGGGGTAATCTTTCACACTACTGATAGGAAAGCACATGGGGGCTATGCTGTCAGTAATGCACAAAGGAGTTCAACAGCCATCTTCAAGTTTCTTATGACAAAAGGAGGCCATTATATTCCAACAGCACTCAAGCTTTTTGAAGCCAAATCAGTTGCACAACTGCTTTATGAATCCCAGCTGCGACCCCTCCCCAACTCTGCAACATTATAACTTGTGCAATCCAAATTTCTTAGA